TTACCCAAATGTTTTTTTGCAAGTATTTATGAAAAGAATGTGTTCATTTTGTGTGCCCTTGAGATTCATATATATATTTTATGTTCAGTATTCCTGGCTTATTATAACTCCCTTCTCTAGTCTTTACCTGTAGCTGACCATAAAGAAATTCCCCGGGAGCTGGTGGCAGAACTGAGTAGTAGAGCATTTGACCTAGCATGCCTGAGGCCCAGGTTCATCCCTAGTACTGCCAAAAATAAAAAAATAAAAATCACACACTCTGACCTACCCCATGGATTACTGAGATCTCATTCCAGAGGAATCCTGCCATGCCTGGAGGAACAAAAGCTTCACAGCGACCAAGCCCTCTCCAGGCTCGCCCCTCAGTCTGTAGTCACACGTGCAGTGAAGTCTCCAAGTAAAAAGTAAAGCATGGGGTTCAGGTCATGTGGACACATGGTTCCCAAAGGCCAGCACAGTTGCTCCCCGTAATACTGCATGGCTTCACCTGTCCTGTGTCATCCTCTATGATGAAATGAGTGTCAGCCTGGGGAGATAGCTTGGAGGTCTGAGCACCCGCCCGACAAGTGCAAGGTCCCAAATTCAATCCCCAAAACAGGTCACCAAAACTAGGTGTGTCGCATGCCTGTAATCCTAGCGCTGGGAGGCTGAAACTGGAAGATCACGAGTCCAGACTACATAGTAAGACCCTGTACCAAAAGAATTTAAAAAATTTAAATACCAGTGTTTCCCTGAGTTCTGTGAGTTGCTTAAGCAAATTCACAGGGCTTGTGAGAACGCTGATAGTAGTGAGACAAATGTAAATCAAGCGCTTGGTTGACATCAAAAGTAGGCACCGTTTGGGACTGAGGTTCCCCTCTGTGAGTGCCAGTGCTACAGGCAGGTGTGAGAAGTGAATTGGAGTGGAGGACACCAGCAGGGGCTCACTGCTGAAGATGCTGAGCACAGAGGAAGTCCTGGCAGGGTTTCTGGTAACGGTGCGCGAGGCTGACTTCCCATCACAGAGACGAGGGCTTCCTCAATCCCCACAGTCACAGGTAGGTTGGAGGCAGGAGCTGGGGAGACCCTGAGAGTGTGCTGCTGTTGCCTCTGCCCTCTGAAGACGTTAGTACAGACTTGTACCCCTCACAACCCAACCCTAAGAAAAATACAAGGAAGTGTGCCCAAGACCACCTTCATTCCATGTGACGTGCTGGAACACTGCCTGTGCTGGCTCTTACACTGAGCAGGCAAGTGGGAGCATTGTAAAGCTAAAAAGTAGGATGAACAGAATGAATTGAAACAGTTTAAACCTAAAACCAGTCATGAAGGAAACAAGCAGCCACAGGTTATGCTCTGCCTGCTATGCCCCACCCAGGCCTACTGGAGGTAGTTGGGACACTCCTGGGCAACCAGGTGCCAGCCTTGATCAAAAGCATCCACCACAGCCAGCTCCAGAGGAACTTCCTCCATAGCAGCCAGGTTCTGCTGCAGCTGCTCCAGGCTGGACATGCCCAGGATGACCACAGCCCCAGTCACATGTCCCTCCCTTCCACAGCCACTCTAAGAACGTGTCATTGCCTGAAGCTGTTGGGATGTACATTGCTCCGGGCCTGGCATTTCACAGAGACTAGAGGAAGCCATTACCCTAGAGACCTGTGCCAGAGGAATTGACCAGGGAAAAAAGGCAGGGCAAAGAGGAAAGCGCCAGCTCCACTCATAGGGTTGGACTCCATCTCCAGGTTAAAGCAATGCAAATTTCTGAGTCAAATCATGGTCATTTCTCACCACAGACAACTGTGGGATCTTAGGCAAGCAAAGCAGGCTCTCTGGGCCATTTCCCCCATGTATAATGAGATGACCAACCTAAACAGGGATATTATAAACGTTTGCAACTGGCACTTGAGTGACTCCTGGGAGAAGAGGATTGCAACTCAAAAAAGATATGTCAGAGAAAGGAATGAAGAATCTCAGATAATTGTGTGGTCCTCTCTTCTCGTCCACTCTGCTAACCATTTCCACCAGAATTTAAAGGAATCATAAGAGACTCAGGGTCAGTGTGTTACCTCTGTTCTCAAGGACTCAGTCTGAGGGGCCATGTCAGAGGAAAAAGGTTAGGCAAGGCTATCGGACCCAGGGCACCATGATGGGATGTCTACTGGAAGTTCAAGAAAGCTGTCTTTAGAGTCTATGAGAACCTCCAAGGAGAAATCAGCAGCCCAACAGTTGTGAAAAAGTGGGAAGTTTATGTCAGGTTGAGGTGCACAAACAAGCTGAGGAGGAAGGAAGCCCCATGTGGAAGCTATGCTTGCTAATTCAAGTAGCACCAGGTCCGGGACATGGGACATGGCACCAGGCCATACCCAGGTGCTGAAAGGCTCCACATGCACACATTCTCTGAAGACCTGCATTCTGTGGCCTGCCTTCTGGTTCTGAAAGATGATCTAAATGCAGCAGGCACAAAGTCTGGAAATAGCAACAGTAAGGCAACTCCAAGAAAAACTGGGGGAAGGAACAAGCAACTCTACGTGTGACTCCAGGAAGGACAGGCAGGAATGAGCAAGAGACCTCCTGAGAAAATGGGCCATCCTGGGGCCATGCATGGGAGTCCCCACTTTCCTGCCCTCCCTGTTCAGAATCCTAGTTGAGGGGCCCGGGGAGATGGCTCAGTAGAATAAGCACTTCCCTGGCAAGCACAAGGGGCTGAGTTCAATCCCTGGTTCCGTAAAAAAAAAAAAAAAAAAAAAAAGCTTAGTTGGCCAGATATGTAGGCGAGAGGAGCATCCTCAGCACACTCCATACTTGGAACTTACTTGTGCTTCAAGGCATTTTCTAGAGTCCAGTTTGGGACACTTTGAGACCTGAGAGAGCGAGCAGGCTGGAGAAACTATGCATCTGAATCTTTTCCTTCCCTCCCATGCCTAATGTAAACATAAATTACCTTCCGATCTGAGATCTGTGGGCACTGGCCCAGCTAGCTCTGGCCTCAGGACTGGAATGAAAGAACTGGTGAAAAGAAAAAAAAAAAGTCAAGATAGTTGACTATGATAAAAAAAAAAAAAAAAAAGACTCAAAGATCAATGGAGGGGCTGGTGAGATGGCTCAGTGGTCTAAAGCACCTACTAAGAACAAGCTCAGCAAAGCACAGGGACCCTGGTTCG